GGTAAAAATAAATCAAAAAATAAATTCAAAAAAGAAATATATAGTTTACATATATGATTAAAGATTTTTTTCTTTAGTGTATAAGCAAATAATTATTTGAAAAACATAGAGAAAGTAACAAAGCATGAAACTTACATTGTAGTTTACGTGTTTTGGATGATATGATCATTTGTAATGCTCATGTCTCTGAATAACATGATTGTGAAGAGAGATTTAAGTACATATGGATCCACAAGAAGAAACGTCATAATCGTTGGTCTGCGCATATAAACTAAAATTGTAAATTAAAAAAACAATAGAAAAATACATATGAAAGCATTCTTCTCCTTCTAAGCTCTAACAAACAATCATTAAATAGAAATATAATACCTATGAACATATTTAAAAAGTAAGAATTAGNTTAATTAATATTCTTGTGCAAGTAATATGTAATAAGGTTAGTAATTAGTGTTGCTTTCCTATTAGGTTGTCGATGGTAAAAATAAATCAAAAAATAAATTCTAAAAAATCAACCAATAGAATCGCTAGAATTCTTCTGAGAATGGCTGTGTGAGTGCCACGTGTCAAAGTGACTTCTCTTTTAATGTATAGGAGGATTTTTTTAAAACGTCAATAAATACAGAGAATAAAAAGCAGCTTCATACATACATACGCTGCATATCTGCTCCCTCACCTCGTTCCTCGCGCTTTCTCTCTCTCTCTCTCTTTCCTTGAGAAACAAGCCACAATCACAACAATCAATCCACTCTCTGATCTCTCCTAATAGCAACAATGGTCATTCTCGAGAGCACTGTCCATCACGAGCCCGAAACGCCGCGTTTTACCGACGACCTTGCCTTTGGCTCAGCTTGCTCCACTCCCTTCGCAAGCGCGCCGTCTAGTCCCAGCCGTGCTCCACCGCCTGGTTACTTCTTCAGCGCACCGTCGAGTCCGATGCATTTCTTCTCCTCCTCCGCTGCTCCGTCGGAGAATCCGAAGCTCGACTCGTCTCCTTCCGGCGAGTTCGAGTTCGATTTCTCGTCTCGGTTGTCTTCAAGCAGTTGCGGCGTAGTAGCAATGACCTCCGCGGAGGAGCTCTTCTCCAACGGCCAGATCAAGCCGATGAAGCTCTCGTCCCACCTCCAGAGGCCTCAGGTCTTAGCGCCGCTTCTAGATCTTGAAACCGAGGAGGAGGAGGAGGAAGAAGACGGGAGGCGTGGGAGGGATCTGAAGCTGAGAAGCAGATCTGTTCATCGGAAAGCGAGATCTCTCTCTCCGCTCCGAAACGCAGCGTTTCAATGGAACGAAGAGAGAGAGGTGAAGGAGTGTATACGGAAGTTACAAGAAGATTACGAAGAAGAGGAAAAAAAGAGTAACGGAAACGCCACGTCAGCCGAAACGACGCCGTCTTGTTCCGCTTCTTCTTCTCGGTCCTCGTCTTACGGAAGAAACACGAAGAAATGGATATTCCTCAAGGATCTGCTTCACCGTAGTAAAAGCGAAGGAAGAGGAAACGGTAAGGAGAAGTTCTGGTCCAACATCTCATTCTCTCCTTCCAGTCTCAAAAAGCTCAAATCAGAGGACGCAGCTGTCGAGAGCAAGAAGCAGAAACAGTCAACACCGGCGAAGAAGACTCCGGTCACCGGAAAACCGACAAACGGGATAGCGAAGAGGCGAGGGTTGCAGCCGTCAGCTCACGAGGTGCATTACACGACGAACAGAGCTCAAGCGGAGGAGATGAAGAAGAGGACGTATTTGCCGTACAGACATGGACTCTTCGGGTGTTTAGCGTTTAGTTCCAAAGGTTACAGTGCCTTTAACGGTTTAGCCCGAAGTTTAAACCCGGTTTCATCCGGTTAAAACTCCCTGTGGGTTATAGATTATTTGTTATTGTTAAGCAAGTGTTTATGTATAGGTTATGGATTTAGTGATCCTCAAGTTCTAAATAGTATTTGTAAGAAGATCAATGCAACTATGTTCTTGGATCTGATTAGTATTATTCTCTGTATTTCTTGGGAATTATTTCTGAATCTAAAAGCTTACAGTGATGTTGGCCACTGAGCTGGGGTCAGGAAACAACAATGGTGTTTGGGTTTTTGGTTTGTTGAGACTTGGAAGGGAGTTTGCAATAAATTTTTGTAGTACTCTTGTGACATCTGCAGAAGAGAAACAAAAAAAAACAAGTTCGGGGCCATGAGCGAGTTGTGTTTTGGACTAATGTGTGCAAAGAGTTAAAAGAGAGCATCTTCATCATTTACACGATGACTCGTTTGTGGTTTGTCTTATTAAACATTTGGTGATTGAAACTGCATCTTTCAAGTCTTATCTATTTGGCATTTAGCTAAATAACATATGCTTTTTTAGTTACTATATCTACTTGTTCTTTGGATTCTTGTTTTGGATATTATCTTTACACTTGATTAAATATAAACCACCCCTTGATGACAAGAAGCCTACCTACCGTGAGTGATGTATGGGGTTTTTGTTTTCATACTCACTTGATTAACACGACATATACATATCATTCTTTTAGCTGTCTTTTCCTTCTTTTTTTAGAATTTTATGCTCGTAGTTGTTCCTATATGATATTTACTTTTGATTACCATTGTATTTTTATATATGTTCATTTCTTGATAAGTCAAGCCAAACTAATAAAAACTCCAAATTGCGTCTTTATTCGATTTGATCAATCAAAAGTAAATCCAAAAAGAGTATAAAAGCAAGAATGAAACCGAAACTTAAATTCAAATGGAATGAACACACTGTTTTGTGGTTGATCGGATTTATGTCGGTATGCAAAGCTAATCTCCTTCCTACATGTGGCTATCTAACACTATTAAAAGGCCTAAATGGAGGCTGCTTACATTGTCCACGTTTGCAAATATATTTAACCAGTAATAATGCTCTATTTTGCCATGTCATAATCGGTTTGTTCAGTAAAATCATGTTTGGTTTTGCGTACGAAATTGATTTTTGGTTATGCCTGGTTTGAGTCTGGGTCATAAATCTAGGAAGCCACAGATATTTGCCTGAATTTCGACTTCCTCACTTCCCCTTTCGTCTCTTCCGTTTGATCGATCTATTAACCCACTCCCTGAATAATCAATCCTTTCTTCGCTTTCTTCTTCATCGTTTCATCTTCTCGGAAAGAAGAGATGAAGAAGCCAGGCGGAACCGAGAAGAAGAGAATTAAACGATCATCAGGATCTTCATCCTCCACCAGGACCACCACTAGATTCTGGTTCCGATCCTCCACCGAGGGTTTGCTTCTCTCTTCTCTCATTCTTGCTAATCTCTTTTAGACGAAACATTGTGTTTAGGTTACGTTTGCCTTTTGTTTGATCTGTTTCAGTATCTGATGGAGAATAAATCTCTGATTACTGTTTGCTAAATTGTATGTAAATGCACAGATATGTGTGTATTCACATCACTGTTCTTGTGTAATGTTACTAATGTCATGTGTGGAATATTATATTGTTGAAAGTTTGAGTCGTTGGCCTTTGTAATGTGAATTGATCTTTTTTTTTTGTACATTTACTAGAAGAAAGGTGTGAGGAAGGATGCATTTCAGTTGTTTGCCGAGAAAATAAGGGACAACAAGGGGTTGGAATCAACATAGGCTGGTGTTACAAAAAAAAAAGAGTCGTATACTTTAGAGGCAAATATTTTGTCAGCTTCTTAAAGAATCACCCCGAGTGTAAAGAGATTCTTAAAGAAGATAAAGACCTTGACGCGGAAGATATTGGTAATGTGTTGTTGGAAAGGAACGTTCTTGTCCGTTGTGATCGTGTTACTAAAACTGTTTGTCCCGGGAAGAAAAAGCTCTCTACTTAGCCTGCTCATCTTGAGATTTATCGTCTAAGTTTATTTGGTCTTGGTTCATATGATGAACTGTTGTTTATTTCTCAAGTATTTAAGGTTTATTTTTAATCTTTGTAATGTGCAGGAAAATCAAGGTTTTCTCTGAAACTGATGCGTTTTTTGCATGGACGTTTGAGAAAAGGCATCCACTGTGGCGAACGCTTCTGTCCTTTTGGCTAATTTGTAAGTTAAATGGCGAGAGAGACTAGAAAAGGATATAGTTATGACTTATGGCTCTTGATTATTGGGGGAGGGAATGAACATTACATGATGCTACGTTTTTGTTTCTTTAACTATGGGGTACTTAGCTGGGAACAATAATAAATAAGTGGCAGGGTTTGCTTCTTTTTTAATTTAGCTTGGGATCGTGAGCTGGAGTACTACGTAACTAAAAGCCACTATACATATCCTCACGATTTGTACATCTACTCTGTAATAACTGTTCTTCCCTGACATTGCAGGTTACGTAGATCAGGTTAATCATTCCTAGCTTATCATCCTGGCTTAGTGAGGGACAAATTGGCATATCATGGTTGTGCTGAGCTTTTCCAGGTAAAATTATTCAGCCTTCGCCATCTTTATTCGTTGATAAAACAAAGTGTTTATATCAGAAACTCTTTTTTCCTGTGTACCATTTGTGCTCGACTTACATAAGGAAGTATTTTAAAATGGTGGAGTTGGTTTCTTACATCATTGTTTCTATTTTAAAGGATCTTCACATTGAACTCATTTAGTATCGGTGGGCTCAGATGATCAAGCAGAAGTTTATTTCAGAAGAACTTATTGTAGACTCACACTTGCAGCAGGGACAATGGCTTATTTCCTCTCATCATGCCAAAAGAGGTAAAACTCTGAGCTTCTCTCAAGTTATACTAAAAATGCTTAATATGGACACATTTGTATATCTTAATACCCTTTATGGCTGCTATCATTTTGTCTCTTGAAGCCTGTCTTGGAAATCTTTCTATGTATTTTTTTGGAGTTTCTAATGAACATATATAGATGCAGCATCATAATTTTTTCCGTTTACATGTGGTTCATATGTAACGTACTGTTTTCAAGCCCCTTATGCTGACATTCAAATACCCCAATCTGACATTTCCTTACTGCTGTTCTGATGGAAGTGCATTGGCTATTGTGATGCTAAGAGTTTATTGGTATTGACCCTCGCTATTTGTTTGTTTCCTGTGTACCCACACCGTTGCAAACTCATTGTTCTCTACTCATGTGCCGGAATTCTTTTGACGATTCTCTCCTTGCTTTTCGGTAAGCTCTTCATACATAATCTGTTTAACGTAGTACACATATATTAATCTATAGATTTATATTGGCTTACACTGAGATTATGCTGTTCTTTTGATGAATCTCTCCTTGCAGTAAGAGCAGTTTCTTTCGGTGCTATGTGGATTCTTCTATGAAAGCGTGTTTGGTTCTTCCCCAACATTCTTGCAGAGGAAGACACATTGAAGGAAACTTTCCGTTTCTGGCCAAAGAAAGACGAGGAAGATCCTCCCAAGTGGGCTTCTCGGCTTTACTACACAGTTGTGGCTGTTGTTGTTGTCATGCTGCTGAGGCTCCATGCCCTCCCCAGCGTAATTTTGAGCTTCATGTGAGCAATTTAGAAATGTCTAGATCTATGAATTTTTATTTCATTGGTTATCACTTATCGAGAAACACATTGACAGAGTGGGAATGACAGCCTGGAGATAATATGCCTGGTGCTGGAGCAATCACATGAAACCACAGTCTTGGACTTTAGAGCACACTGTGAATGATGGTGATCGTGTTAGTAATGGTGATGTTGAAGAAAGAGGTGAGGCATCAAATCCACAAGACAGCTATGTTGATGGAAGCAACAAAGGAGAGGTGGCATCTGTGGAGGAATATTGGTATTCTACAGAGAAGACATGAAATAAGTAACACTAAGAGATCAACGGGAGCTTAAGTTGCAAGACAGGATGACACTTTCGATGCATTGGTTTGTAAATAAGTCTCCAGACACTAATACTTCTGAGAACTACAAAGTTTCTGCTTTTGTTATTTTGATGGAAGCAACAAAGGAGAGGTGAGGCATCAAATCCACAAGACAGCTATGTTGATGGAAGCAACAAAGAAGAGGTGGCATCTGTGGAGGAATATTGGTATTCTGCAGAGAAGACATGAAATAAGTAACACTAAGAGATCAACGGGAGCTTAAGTTGCAAGACAGGATGACACTTTCGATGCATTGGTTTGTAAATAAGTCTCCAGACACTAATACTTCTGAGAACTACAAAGTTTCTGCTTTCGTTATTTTCTCTATTCTTTTGTAACTTATTTTTAGTTTTTCTGTTTAGAAACATTTTATTCATATCAGTCATTTTTTCATTTAAAAGTATTAATATCATGTTTTCCAACTGTCCAACACCATTTCTTTTCCTACGAAAACATAATCTAATATTCCGTTCCTTTTTTTTACGAGAAGCATCATGCAACATAGAAAATCAGTACATGAAAAAACTGGCCCATAACATCCAGATACTCTTTCAATCATCTGTTAACAAGTTTCGTGCACCCTTATACTGCTTAACTTAAACAATTATTCGTCGGTTCAAAGATGCACAATCCATCGCTGCACAAAANAGAAAATAATATTAACATTTAAATATGTTTTGTAAATGATTTTAGTTTGGTATCATCAAAATAATTAGTATAATGTTCAAAATAAATAATAATTAGTATAGTAAATAATATTCTGCCAAAATATGTGTTTAGAAACTATACCTGCCAAAATATGCAAAGTATAGATTATAAACCATCCATTGTACTAATATTAAAACTTCTGTATCTGCTTTTATTTTTAAATAATATTCATTTGGTTTGTGATTAACTGTAGATTCAAAGCAACATAAAATTTTACTTTTTAGTTTTGTAAAGATAATTATGAGTCAAATGTGATACTACTATCCACAATACACGTATTTCATTCCACAATGTAAACATAATATCTAATTATTACCGTATTTTGATACACTAAATAACTTATATATATATATATATATAAGGCTAATGTGTTTTCATATATAAAATTATTTTTCTAAAATTTCACGAAAAGAGTATTTCATATATTAATTCCTATAATAACATCTAACAGTTAGACGTTATAACTAAATTATTTTAATAAAATAAACAACTAATAATTAAAACCCCAGCGCGTAGCAACTAAGGATGATGTAAGGAAGACATAAAGTTGTATTTTCAGTTATCACAAATATAAAATCAATTGACAACAACTAAATCATATCCAGCTTAATACAATAGAGAAGAGTTTCCATACCTTCTAATATAAGTATCTCAATATATTAGTGGTTAAATCAGCTGTCTCTCGCACAAACACTCACTCCATTCGTGGAGTTTAAGTTTTTCTATCTAATGCTATTAGTAGTTTGATCCACAAAAAAAAAAGAAATGGTCCAACTATATATTCTAATTGGAGAAAGAAAACAAACAGAAATCAACAGAATACTTTAAAGGTATGTGAACATGAAGAAGAACGACTGGGTGGAGTCATAAAACATTTTTTGTCTTGGCGGATCAAAAAATGGTGTAATCAGTGTTGAGTGAAGAAGAAAAAAATGGAAGTCAAAAACATGATAAAAGTTCTGAGAAAATGATGTATTTACTCAAAAATAAAATTATGAGAAAATGAGTCATTACTTGATGTTAGTCCAACAAAGTAATTGTAATGACGTCCGAAGAATATATATATATTCTAAATTATTAAACAATGAATACATGATATATACAGACATCAACATACAACTTATTTGCAAATAAAATTTTCATATATAAGTACTTAAGAATGACTAAAAATATATGTCATCAAAATATGTTGTATATTTGTGATAAATATTTCCAGTCACATTAATATTTTCATAAAACTTTTTTCTTTATAGCAAAACAGTAAACAATATAGATATCATATAAATTACTAAAAAAACACCAGATCCTTTTAATAATAACAAAGACAAAATAGAATCAAGGTACAAAAAAATTGAAAATAGCAATTTCTGCAATTAAAGAATCAGACAATAAAGTTGTAAAAATACGAAAAAATATATACGAAAAGAAAGATTTAGTAAAATAAAATCATAATATAATTTCCATAATTGATAATGCTCAGTTAAGTTAAAAATTCTAAATTTACAACAGACACAGTTTTATTTATATCTTTAAACATATTACCTAATTAAAATGATTTTAAAATAAATGACCGCATAAAGATTGGAAACTATATATAGAAAATATATGATAAAATATAATACATAAATTTTTAAAATTACATTATCACTAATCACCACAAAATTATGTTCGTAGCAATGAGTGAAATGACAAACACATTTATTACAACCATAGAACGGCACACAATAAAATGTTATTAAATATACAAACAACAAATTAAATATGCTCAACCTAAACACATATAAAAATGAGACATCATATTTGGATATACTTAAATTAATAATTTCATAAAATAATACACAAACAAAACTAAAGCAATATTTTATAATTTCAAAATAATAAAGGAATAAAATATATTGTGTCAATAAAATATATTTTAAATTTTAAAGAATTCTAACTGAGGTAATATTATAAAAATCAAAAAATTATTATAATTAATAATTAAGCATTCGACATATTAAAATAATATTCTAGAATGATATTCAATTGTCAGTTTCCAACTACTATACGTAAAAAATATTACTAAGTACATTGAAAAGGGGGTTTAATATTTTAAGTAGGTTAATGGAGTACTTTTTCTTTTCGTGAATTTACTCGAGATAAGATTCCTATATTTAAAAGTAATATAATTGAAGTTATAAGCATAATTGTTTTTTTACATAAGACTAAAACCTCGAACTCAATTCTTCATATTTTATTATTTAATTGTATTATATATAATAGAAACATATTTGACAATAGTATAAATTTAATGGTATAGTGAAGATAATTATATAACTAAATTAGTACCAATGAATTATATTCAAATAATTATTGCAAACTGAAATTACAAAATATTCAAATTTAAAAATTAGTTAAATATAATTTAAAATACAAAAATTGACATAAAAATAAAAAAATTAAATATATTATCCGCGCGTAGCGCGGAGAAAGGATCTAGTGGGTTTTAAAGGCTTTACATTTTGCTCCACAAACCACGTTCGCAGAAAAACCGTAGCTAATAATAATGATTTTTGGTCGAAAGACACTTATTAACGAGTAACAAATTTGTAACGGTGTCATTCTCTGCCGCCACGGTTACAACAATAGTTGTCGTTGAAAAACATCCGAATATTAAATGAGAGTACATGCACGTAGAGCGACCCAAGAAGATCCACACCGCACATCAAGAGACATTTAGCTGTCATTTTTTTCTTGTTCAACACATTTAGCTGTCTTATCTATCTAAAATATACGATTCAACCCACATGAACTTGTCTTCCTCTTGGGTCCATTGATGCATCTACTACACTCGTTTATACACAACAACAATATGTAACTTCTCTAGTTATTTGTGAAATTTAGAGAAAAGGGCCATGTGGGTTGTCGTAAGAGAAGAGTATTAAGAACAGAGGAGGTCCATACTTAACATGACCCACTTAAAGTAAGAATCTCACATATTTTGTTTCTCTTCTCCATAAGACTCCAATGAGAGTATCAGCTTGGGCCAAATTACATTAAAAGACAGTCTTGTCATAGGACCTTAATGCTGGTTAAAGAGTTTGCCGGAGATATCTAAAAAATTAAGAATCATCAGTCCCAGGTCATATCATAGTATTTACCTTTTTTTCTCAGAAAAAAAAAAAGAAAGAAAGGAGATAATGGGATTAATTCAGAGAAACCAGAAAAAAAGAAAGAGAGGATATAATGGGATTAATTCAGAGAAACCATATAGTAGTATACTTTATCAGGGCACAAAACACAAGTTTCAAATCGTGACGTCGGATGAGTCACTTCAATCAATCTGCAACAGCTATCTATTGTTTGCAAACTGTACACTTGATCGCTCAGCTGTGCTAGTCTAATCTGTATCACTGTTTATGTGTGGGAACTTTCTATTCCCAATAAACCAGTAGTGTCAGCTGTAATTTAAACTAGGTGATTTTCCCGTGCTCATACACGGGTATAAATATTCATAAAAATAAAATTTTATAATAATTGATTGATATTTAGTTTTAGTTTTGTATCAATTTATATGTATAATTTATATTAATAAATATTATATTATTCTAATTATACATATGACTTTGGATATATTATGGTCGGTTTAGTTATTTTTTGGAACAATAGTTGGTTTGGTTATCAATTTGGTATATTGGATAATATTTAATTTTTGAATTCAGCTATAATATTTTTTATTGTAAATATAATAAACTTTGATTAATTTTCTTATTTTCATTTCGGTTGGTTATTGTCTTAGATATGTAAATATATTATAGTTAAATTATATATAACTTAATATATATATATATATATATATATATATTGTGTTTAAACTAAAATAAATAATAAGCTGAAGTGTTTGATTCAAAATTACATAATATATAATGATAATATTTTGAAGTCTCATGCCTATATATAAATTGTACAAAAGAATAAATTGTAATTGGTTAATATTTTCTTTTTCTTTTTAATATGCTTTGAGTCAACCTCTAATTTATATGTATAAAATTAAATAGATTATTATTACTTTAAAATTATATGTTCTTATTATAGTTAGATGTTTAATTTTGGATATAAATTAGATTAGTCGAGTCATTCATGTTGTGAGTATATTGAGTTAAAATTAAAGTATAATTACTTTTTATTTTAGTTAAGTCCAATAAAATTAGTTATATTTATCGCTTAAATATACATGTATTGTCATAATATTTATTTATTCCTTATTTTAGTTAAGTTAAATCAAATTCGTTTTATTTATCGTTTAAATATATAAGTATTTTCATAATATTTATCAAATTATATGTTGATTTCTAAATATATTAGAAAATAAAGTGCAACTGATAAATTTTGGATGTTCATGAACATAGATATTTTATTATTTTGAAAATATATTATATGTTATTTAAAAATATATATTAATGGGGGTATATTACTATTTTGTGAATTTTCCTTTTTAATAAAGTCATATTATATACATATATTTTCGTTTTTAAATCTGTTTTAAATTTTAGAAATATTTCCTATATGTTATTTGGAAAAAGTAAAAAAAGAAACTAAATAAAAATAATTAATAATAAACTTAAAATCTAACAATTCATTAAGGGTATCTATGTAATCAACCATCGCCAGAGTTAACGTGAGCGCGACACATAGGAAACTGAATTCTCAAATAATATTATAGAGATTTAAGTTAAGTTAAGTCAAATTAGTTTTATTTATCGTTTAATTATACAAGTATTTTCATAATATTTATCAAATTATATGTTGATTTCTAAATATATTAGAAAATAAAGTGCAACTGATAAATTTTGGATGTTCATGAACATAGATATTTTATTATTTTTAAAATATATTATATGTTATTTAAAAATATATATTAATGGGGGTATATTACTATTTTGTGAACTTTCCTTTTTAATAAAGTTATATTATATACATATATTTTCGTTTTTAAATCTGTTTTAAATTTTAGAAATATTTCCTTTTTATTATATATGTTATTTGGAAAAAGTAAAAAAGAAACTAAATAAAAATAATTAATAATAAACTTAAAATCTAATAATTCATTAAGGGTATCTATGTAATCAACCATCGCGAGAGTTAACGTGAGCGCGACACATAGGAAACTGATTTCTCAAATAATATTATAGAGATTTGTAGCAGGCAAGATATATATGGCTGAAGGATTTTTAGAATATAGGCAAGCTTGATTATGTTAAGATTAGATAATTTTCATCCAGATTTTTAGAATATTTGTGAAGTGGACAACACATCGAGATTATCAATAAAGCCCATCTTGTGATGTATTATTAACGAAGCCCACTTCGTAATGTTATACGGGTTTAACAAAAAAATAACACTGAAGAGTATTATTTCGATTTGAAGCTACACATGTATCCAAACATCATTTGTTTTATTTGTTATCCTTGTAACCAAACAACTTCAAAAAGTACTTCAGTTTTAATAATATAGATTTTTGTTCTAAAAGGAAAATAAAATAAAATAATTCATTTAGTGGTCTTCCGTATATGGGCTATTTTAACAAAGTTTATTGTAAGTTAAACTAAATAATGGACACATTTTAGGTGGAGTTAATAGGCCGTCTTTAACGGAACGGGTCTTGTTAAGAAGAAGAAGAGTCAGCGAATCTGCTTTCATTTATCCACGTGGAGGATGCGGATTGGTTTTAGTCCTGATTTGTTAAGAATTGCAATGTACACGTAATCTCACCACTGGGTGGGATTCTAAAATGGGTTTTGGATTCCTTCATTCCGAGAAAGAGGGAAGTGACAGATTCGAGTGTTTGGAGATCTCTCCTTCGTTCTCTCTGTTAACAAACAATTGAAACGAATCTCAGATTAAGAGTTGAAATTTCTTGGGAGAGAGAGATCCAATCCTCTTCTGATTTTTGTTTCCAATGGCGAATCAGTGGTCAGAGCTATGTATCGTATTGTTCGCTCTCTCTTACGCCATCTGCGTCATCGCTGGGTAAGCACACTTCTTTCGAAAATGTATTCGTCTCTGTGAACATATCATAATGCTTGTTGTGAATTTCAGGAAGAGCTACTACGATGTGTTGTAAGTGCCGAAAGGTGCATCTGACGAACAGATCAAGAGAGCTTATAGGAAACTCGCTTTGAAGTATCATCCCGATAAGAATCCAGGAAACGACGAAGCCACTAGCAAATTCGCTGACATTAATAACGGTATATGCAATGCAATCGTGATAGATTTATCGTTTATGTGGTTTTTGGAATTTGAATTTAATGGTGTAGTGTGTTTGATGTTGTAAACAGCTTATGAGGTGTTATCCGATGAGGAGAAGAGGGAGATTTATAACAGGTATGGTGAAGAAGGACTTAAACAGCATGCTGCTAGTGGTGGACGTGGAGGTGGTGGCATGAATATGCAGGACATCTTTAGCCAGCAAGCTTTTCTTAGAAATAAAATAAAATTTTCTCTAAGTGTTTATATGGTAAGCATTAGAGAGGAATCAATGGAATAAAGACCAATGGTATTGACATTGGTTATTTTCTCCTCTTTTATTGGAAGATCGTAATGGTTTCTTTCTAGGTTTCAACTCGTGGTACAATATTTAGGGTTATCAGATCGGATTCTATGAATTATGGACGATAAAACAGTGGCTAAGGTTTTCTTTAAACACCTGCGATTGAAATCATTTGCCTGAAAGATTATATAGAGATAGAAAACGGTAGCCATCTTAGGGCAGAAGTGGGGTGGTTTCTTTGTATGGATAATGGATACCAGTGAGTTTGGTAATGTTGAGGGCCTTTGCTGTAGTTCGAATAGTTCCTAAATTTTGCTGATGTTTTACATTCATGTTAAAATGTAACATATTTGCTAATGTGTGGAGATTATTGGTTAATGTGCCTATTAGGTTTTTTGGTGGTGGTAGTTCGACGGAGGAAGAAGAGAAGGTTGTTAAGGGTGATGACGTGATTGTCGAACTTGAGGCCACTCTTGAAGATTTGTACATGGGAGGCTCTATGAAGGTATGTTACCCTCCCTGTAAGGCTGTTATTGTTGTCTTCAACTCGTATGGAAATTGTTGCTTTGATTCAAACATGCTTAGGCTTCATAACTTATCAGTGAACATGATTTCATAGTGTACGAGGTTCTTTACTTTTGAAAGATACTTTGGTTAGAGTAGTTCGGTTCTCAGACAAATTACGATATGAATTGCCTTAAATTTTGGTTTCTTAATGATGGATGTCACACGTTAAACTATCAGGTATGGAAGGAGAAGAATGTAATAAAACCAGCTCCTGGAAAGAGAAAGTGTAACTGCAGGGATGAAGTTTATCACAGACAAATTGGTCCTGGAATGTTCCAACAGATGACAGAGCAGGTAAGGCAAATGTATTCAAGCCCTCTCAGTCCATTCTATTGAGTCCAATATAAAGCCCACCTGTCTAAATCATATCTGGTTCCTGTCAGGTCTGTGACAAATGCCCAAATGTTAAATTCGAACGCGAAGGATACTTTGTCACAGTTGATATCGAGAAAGGAATGAAAGACGGAGAAGTAAGCCTCCAAACTCTACTCTACACACCCTTATGTTGTAAACCTTAGGTACTACATATTACTGTAGCTCTGAAACTCACTGCGAACTTATCTATGCTTCCTTTCAGGAAGTGTCTTTCTACAAAGATGGCGAACCCATTCTCGATGGTGATTTCACTTGACTTGAAGATAAGAGAATTAATCACTGTTATACATTTAACAGTTCCAATCAAAACTGCACCATATTCCCGTTTTCAGAAGAGATGGCAACGATCTACACATGACCGTCAACATTACACTGGTACATAGATATTCTACTTGCATCATATGTATCTCTACATCATTAACAAACAACTTAATATGTTTACTGATTTTACTTTTTAATTGAACTCCTTTCAGGTTGAGCCGCTTGTTGGTTTTGCGAAATCATTCAAACACTGGATGAGCACGAAGTTGACATCAGTTCCAAGGTAACACTAACTCTTCAAGACCAAACACTTGACATTAATCATGTAAAATGATTATTTTTGGGTTAAATGAGTATTGTGTTTGACAGGGAATTACAAAGCCAAAGGAAGTGAAGAAGTTCAAAGGAGAAGTGATGCCACTTCACTTCAGCACAAAGAAAGGCAACCTCTTTGTCACTTTCGAGGTTTTGTTCCCTTCTTCTCACACTGAGGATCAGAAGAAGATCAAAGAAGTTTTGGCTTAAAATTTTCCTTTCAAGAAATTTGAAATTTGGGGGTTAAATAGAACTCTTGTGATGATTTTTTTGTAACACGACTAGGTCTTAATATAGAAAAAGGGGGAGAAAGAAGAAGATGAGAAAAGCTACAAGGAGGTTTTGATCGAACAGTCTTTTAATATGTTTCTATATATCTTATGCTTTTGTCAATCAAATTAGTGTATACTTCTAAGTTTTCGATTAATACTGTGAATTATGTTTCCAATACTCTTTTTTATTCATAACATGTGAACGTGTTCAAAGCTTTCATTTAGCAAATGGAAAAACGGGTAGAATGAAAAATCATGTCAAAAAACAGCAGTGACTGATGTAGCATTTGCAAAGATTAAGAGTGAGTGAAAAGAACTTTATGATTGAACTTCTATGGAGTTTTGGTAGCCTCAGTGTCCTTGTTTCTCCAGGGATTAAGGGCTTCTCTCATGGCTTGAGATTGAGGAGAATTTTCATACGCTCCTTTCTCTGCCTCTAGTACAGTAACCTTGTCGTCTGCATGTTTTGTTCATAAAAACTATATTTCAAAGAAAGCTTTTCAGAAGGACAAATAAAGAAAACAAACCAGTGTAATGTAGAAACTAGAAGCTGAAGAGTGAGATGATAAATCATACAAGTGCACAAGAAAGTGATAAACTTGAACCTTAGTAAGCATTCCTCTCTAAGAAAAGAAGCCAAACAATGCCTAACATAGAAATTTATCAATGATAATAAACTTCACAGCTTTAATCTCCAAGCGAGAGAGAATGATGGGAACATACAGAAGCTAGTGTTGATCATGAAGAACTCCATTCCTCCGCCAATGATGGCCGATCCAATCGCGATTTTCAGATACCAATTCATAAATCTCACCTGTGTCATCTTCAATTTTTTCCTCACGAATTCAAATAAATCTGAGATGTTCAAGTTTCCGATGAAGGAGTATAACACTAAATTCTACTGACAGTTTCTGCTCGGAGGTAGGAGTTTTTTTCAACATCTCAAATGAACGATTCAGACACTTACACTTCCTAATTAAGCCCATTAGAAAGCCTAAGAGCTCCTAACTAAGCCCATTTAAAAGTCTACGAGTGTCTAACTTCCCAACTCTGTATTTTCTTAATAAAAACTTGTATAGTTTGTTGTGTAGCATTATAATGATGTAACTAGGTGATGACCTGCGCCTTGCGCGGGGTGAGTGACGGAAAGAGTTTATAACTATAATGTATAAGATAATATAATATAAACTTATCTTTTTATAAGAACAAAGTTTGTGTATTGGATAAATCCATTGATTGAAGTGTTTATATGGGAAAAAATTAAGAGTAAGGAAAGACTTTTTTTTTAATTTATTAAAGAATTTAAGAAAAATAAAACATAAAAATATAATTATTCATTTCATAACCAAAGTAAAGTATGATGATAATAATAAAAGATACAATTGTAATAGATTTTTTGTATATGATATAGTTTGATTTAGTAAAACTAACATATATTTATAAAATTTAATATAACAAAAAATGAAATAAGATAGAAAGGCTAATCAAAATATTAAAAATTTCACTATCTTATCTTGAAAGATGCATATAAAATGAAACATATACTATAATAATCAGGTGATAATCCGCACCCTGCACGGAGTAAATGAATTAAAAAATTATTATCTAATATCTATAGATATTAAAATTTAAATGGATAAAATATTAGATATAATGAAATAGATGCATTTGTTTATATAATATAATCTTGTTTTTAAAAAAAACAATTGAAAAAAATTGTGTAATTGGAAAATTGCATTGAAGTTTGTTATATGAAAAAAAAACTATAAAATTAAGCAAAAACTTCTTTAAATTTAGTATGAATTTAAGAAAAAAATCATAGGTTTGAATAATTATTTAATTTATAATAATTAAACCAACATAGGTAATAGAAAAGTTTTCCTTTATATTTATGGGCTTATATCAAGATATATGATATATACAATTTGAACTATAAAGAAATAAATAATGTTGATAGATTCCAAAAATCAATGCTTCATAATTTGAAACTATATTATATATTGGATAAAATTAACTATGTTACATATATATCGTTTATCAGCTTGGAATAATAACGATTTGTTATAAAGAAAAGCAATATGGATTAATATCAAAGTAATCTAAAATAAGTAAAAATAATTTATTAAAATCAATAAAATCTATTAGTTTGTTATAAGGAATGAAACGATAAATATAAAAGTAGTATAAAATAAGTAAAAATAATTTGTTGAAATTGATTATTATATGCCAATGATCGGAACTTCCTTTTTTAATTTTATATTCAATTACACAATTAAATACAACTTGAAATATAAGGAAAGAAATAATGTTGATTGATTCTAAATATCAAAAATGAATATATAATAATCAATAATCAATGCTTCTTAATTTGAAACTATGTATTATATATTAGATAAAATTAACTATGTTACATATGTATTGTTTATTGGGTTGGGTTAAATGGAATAATAACGATTTGTTATAAATGAAAGCAATATCGATTAATATAAAAATAGTCTAAAATAAGTAAAAATAATTTCTTGAAATCAATTAAATCGATTAATTTGTTATAAGGAATAAAATGATAAATATAAAAGTATGAATTTAAGAAAAAAAATGCAATAAAAATGATTATCATCTTTGCTTAAATTCATACAAAATTTAGGTGATAAGCCGCACCATGTGCGGGATGAAATATAAATTTAATCACTTATTATATATTTAGACATTTTTAAGTTAGAAAGTATAAACACAGAATATAATTGATGAAAAACATATATAATAGAAAATAATATGTTTTTTTTAAGATTGTAATGATAAAATAGATTTGCTTCCATATTACATATATATTTATATAACTGTGTAATATTTTTGTTTGTAACTGTTAATTATATAAATCATTGTTTAAATATTATTTTTACTGAAAATTAATAACAATAATAGATATTTTATTGCTTTCTTTTTCTTAATATCAGATCCGACATATAAAGTAGATATTTTCTTAACATATCCACTCCAATCAATGGACTTTGTTTTAGTTAAGCAGATAGTTAAAATTCAAATTTATATAATTAAATATTCAAATGTTAGTCAATAAAGTTTCCTTTTTTATATTAACTTATAGTTAGTTAAGTATTTCAGAAAGTTTTCTTGTATTATTATAATTAGATAGATATACATTATAATTTCATTAGGATATATTTTCATAAGTGTAAAATTTATGTATTATTTATGAAAAACAACAAACCAAACGTAAGTGGCTGTCAAGGTGAATGATCTAATAGGGATTACTTATTTTTAATTTATAGGTATAAAAATATAAAATTCAGTCATAAATATTATATATTATGTAGTGAAAATGTAAAGAAATTGTATATGTTTGTATAAAATAAGCTCTAAATATCTTTTATTTTTTAAATGTGTGTTATTCATTAGGTGTAGTTAAAATATAGTTGCTATGGAAACATATTTATAAGCGTAAGCAAAGATTTATATAAAAATTAAAAAATAATGAAAATAAAACGAAACATATAAACTATTGTTATTGTTTTCATAATATTAATTATAAATTTAATATTTAACAAAATATATGTAATAAAATAATAAAATATCAAAAGAACAAATGATAAAAAAAACTAAAACAAAATTGAAAAAATCACGAATGATAATATCAGTCACATTCTTCACTTGATCTATAATCATGGTAAATAAATTTATGTTAGCAAATAACTCAAGGGGATATCTATTACTTATTTGCTTTTTTTTTCAGAAAAGTAGTTGTGATATCATAAGATATACATGGATAACGTATATATAGAAATAAAGGATTTAGATGATTATATTTGAGTTTTTGAAATAATCAATGCTTCCTATAGAAATAAAGGATTTAGAAATAATCAATGCTTCCTAATTTAAAACTATGTATTATATATTGAATACAATTAATTATGTTACATACTGTAAGTCTGAATATTTCCCTTGACATTATCAATCAGATTACAAGTGTTTATATACACACATTAGTTACAAGTAGCTAATATCTTCCTAGATTACAGGAGAGCATATCTGAGACTTGAATATTCTACGGCATATTCTTTCACCCTCCCGCAGACGAAGCATCGGATTGTCTGATGGTTAGGCTGTTTCTGAAGTTGGTGAAGAGTGACGTAGGCAATCCTTTCGTGAAGATATCAGCGTACTGGAAAGCGGTTGGGACATGTAAGACTTTGACGTGTCCGAGAGCTACTTTCTCGCGTACGAAGTGGAGGTCAAGCTCTATATGTTTTGTCCGTTGATGCTTGACTGGGTTTGAGGACATGTATACGGAGCTAATGTTGTCGCAGAAGATCAAAGTCGCTTTCTTGAGTGGAAGTCGGAGCTCTAGTAGCAGGTTTCGTATCCAGCAAGTTTCAGCCACAGTGTTTGCCACACCACGATATTCAGCTTCAGCGCTGGACCTGGAGATTGTTGGCTGCCGTTTAGATGACCAGGAGACAAGATTTTCTCCTAGGTAGACACAAAACCCAGAGGTTGATCGCCTTGTGTCTGGACAACCGGCCCAATCAGCATCGGAGTAGGCCGTAAGTGTATCTAGCTTGGACTTGTAGAGCTGCTGGCCGAAGGACAGGGTGCCTTGAACATAGCGTAGGATGCGCTTGAGGGCTGTGAGGTGAAGCTCTCGTGGATCATGCATAAAAAGACAGATTTGCTGGACCGCATATTGTATGTCCGGGCGCGTGAACGTGAGATATTGAAGAGCTCCGGCTAGACGTCGGTATTGTGTAGGGTCTTTGACTGGGGGACCAGCATCAGCAGATAGCTTGGAGTTGACGTCTACTGGAGTGGAGAGTGGTTTGCAACCTGTCATTCCTGCACGCTCAATAATCTCCTTGGCGTATTGCTGTTGTGACAAGTGAATACCTGCATCATTAAAATCAACTTTTATGCCCAAGAAGTGAGACAGACGTCCCATGTCTGTTATTGGGAACTCCTTCTTTAGATGAGACGTGATCTTGTCAATGAGAGCTGCACTTGAGCCGGTAAGGATGATGTCGTCAACGTATAATAGGAGGTAGGCTAAGTCGTGGCCTCTCTTGTAGACGTAAAGTGATGCGTCACATTTGCTGGTTGAGAATCCAAGACTCTGTACGTAGGTGCTGAATCTTGCATTCCATGCGCGTGGGGCCTGTTTCAAACCATAAAGAGCTTTATGCAACTTACAGACATAATGAGGATATCGCTTGTCAACGAAACCAGGAGGTTGATGCATGTAAATGGTCTCTGAAATGGTTCCGTGTAGGAAAGCATTTTTGACATCAAGTTGACGAAACTCCCATCCTCGATTAAGTCCAATGTTGAGCACACTTCGAATTGTTGCAGGCTTAACAACATGGCTAAACGTCTCATCATAGTCGACTCCAGCTTCTTGTGTTTTGCCATTACCGACCAGTCTTGCTTTGTGTCTCCTCAGTGTCCCATCTGCATCATATTTATGCTTATACAGCCATATAGAATTAATAATGTTAGCTCCATACGGTCTAGGTACAAGACTCCAAGTCTTATTTTTAATTTGAGCATCGTACTCTTCTGTCATCGCAGGTTTCCAATTTGGATCAGAAAGAGCTTTTTGATGAGAAGTTGGGATCCTAGAAACCGATGAGCTAAGAAGGGTAAATATTTTCTTTGGTTTAACAATACCCATCTGACCTCTTGTTGTCATTCGAGTAGAGGAAATGACATGCGGTTCAGGAGCAGGAGGAATGGCTGTTTGTGCTGCCGGTGGAGCAGGGATCACCGGTGCGGGAGCAGAAGTAAGAGGACTTTGAAGAATTTCCTGGAAGATGG